ACCGCGGGTGGCGCATCAAGGGGGCAGCCCCATGCGACACCGACCAGGGCAGAGAAGGCCCGCAGCCGGCGAGCAAAGGCGGGCGGGCGAGTTCAACCCTGAACACTGCATGCGGCTGGGGGCCGGGGGGATGAGTGAGGGCGCGCGCGCCCGACGGGACTGGCTGCAGCGCAGCTGCGGCGTTTGCTGCGACGCGGCGCGCGGCGCGACCGCGTCTCGGGGCCGGGTTGGGATCTATCTAAACCCTACAGGTGTCGGCCCCTAAACCCTGGGCTGCATCAAACGCACGATGATCGCTCCACGTGGAAGAGGGTGAGCAGGCCGTCCAGCAGCGCGTCGTTCTTGGCCAGGCACACCACGTCGGTGCCGCCCTGCACCTCCACCACCTGCAGACAGGGGTGGCGGTTGGCGGCGGTTGGCGGCAGTCGGCGGCGGTTGACAGCTGGGTTTGCGCTGCGAGGCCGGCTCGTCGACGGAACGCGACGGCACGCAGAAACAACGCAAAGCGCCGAGCCCCCCGCGCCAGGCACCGCACGTTCCCGCGTCAGCGGCCGCTTGGACGCCGACGCGCCCCCGACGCGCAGGCACAAGGCCGCGCAAGCCGCCGAAATCGCTCGAGCGGTCACTTGAAAGATCACTTGAGATCCAAAAGGAGGCCACGGCGCCGTACCTCGAGGTACAGCGACGCTGAGTCAGCGCCTGAAACGAGGTAGCGTCCGAGGTAGACGTTGTCCCCAGGCTCCATCATTTCGGCAAAGCGGGGGTAGGTGATCGGGAACACGGTGTCGGAGCACTCGACATCTGATAGGGTTGGGTGGGTGTGAGGGCGGTGGTGGTGGTTTGGGTGAGTGCGGGGGCCTGTTTGGTTGGGGTTGCGTTTGAGTTTGAGGGTGGTGGCAATGTCCGGTGGGTCCCGAAGTCCTGTTTGGTTTGGAGGCTGGCTGTTTTGTTGAAAGGGGGTTGCGCGCTCGGAAGGGCGTGCGCTCGGGGGTTTGTTTGGTCGGGGGCGCGGGCCGAGGGGCGGGGCGGCAGCGCCTGCGCGCGCAGGGGCGCCGGCGGCGCGCCGGCGGCGCGGTGCGTCGGCGCGCACCGCGCGTGGTGAGCGTGAGCTTCTGGCCCGCCTTCACGGTGATCTCCTGGCCGGCCTGGTTGGGCCAGCCGTCAGGGTCGATCCTGGGGGCGGGATTGATTCGTAAAGGCGTAGCGGGAATGCGGGATCAGGGCGTGCGCCGCTTAGGGTAGGGCGGCCCCGGCCTGACGCGCGGCAGCCGGGCCGGGGCCTTGTGGGGACGGCTCGGAGCTGCCCCAACACGCCACAACCTGTTGTTCAATACACCAAACTTACGACACACCGTCACTCTCCTGCTCTCGCTGTGTTCATCTACTTCTTTCACACACACAACGACACACACACGCACACAGCGACTCACACACATATGCACACACACACACACTCTTGCACTCACACACATACACACACACACACACGTACACACACACAGTTATACACAGACCACAAATTAAGGCGCGCACACACGCACACCTGAAGGGCCTCCTGATCATGACCTCGCGCCCCAGGGTGTCCAGCATGATGGCACACAGCTTGCGCGTGCGCCGCATAGCCTCCTGCGCGGCGAGACGGCCGCGCGCGCGACGTCGCCGCGCGTCCGTGCGTGAGTCCGAGCGGCGCGCCCAGAGACCTCCCGCATCCAAAAGTCGAGAGCGGCGCCGGCCTGGGCTCAGCTGCCTTCACACTCAATGCTCGCAGCTGCACAATCCATCCGATCTCGTGACTGGTTGCCTTCCCGACCTCGTGCCCACCCCTGCCCTCGCAGCCGCTGAACCCCACCTGCAGGTTGTCGAGGCTGGTGCGGTGGTACTCAATTGGACCCCACGTCAGATCGATGCGGGCCGCTGACATGCCATCCTGCCATAGCCATGAGGGGGGGCCCCACCCGATATGTTGAGACGGGCGTTGGGATTGAGTCTGCGCGAACGCGTGTGCGTCCCGCTCGCTGCATCGCTTTTGCGACGCTGCGCGCCTGCACGCGGCCTCCCTCGGCCGCGCCCCGCGTTTGGTTTGTAGCTGCGGCGTGGTGCGTGCTGTGTCGTGCGGCGCGTTCGGCGGCCCCGCGCCCCGAGCAACCGGCGCAGGTGCTCCAGCTGCAAGAAACAGCAGAGGAGAGGCTGCAACTGCGGCTGCGGCTGCGGCCTGGACCCTCCCCCCACCTGCAGCATCTGCACCAGCTTATCCACCGACTGGCATGCCGGGCCGATGGTGCTGACGATCTGCGGCGAGGTAGGCGTTGTGTGTGCATGTGTGTAGGTAATCGTGCCTGTGCGCGTGCCTGGAGGTGCCAAGCCACATGTCGACTTTCAGGAGAAGGGCGGACCGGTGCCCTGAGGGCCGCCAAAAGCGAGTGTCTCGCGTGCCCAGGGCAACTCCCGCCCCCGCGCTGCTGCCGTCCAGGCTGGCGGGGCGCTGAGACCCCCGCCCCCGCCCCAGTGCTCGGGGGGCGCCGCCGCCGCCGCCGCTGCGTCGCAGGGACGCTGCAGCCCGCTGCAGTCTGCTGCAGTCTGGCGGGGCGGGGGGCGGGGTGCATCAGGCGGCGGGTGCAGGGCGCCCAAGCGCACCTTGGTGCATGCCGTCTGCTTCTCATTGGGGTCCGCCGGCTCCAGGATGGTCCCCAGGTTCAGGTCTGGAAAGAAGTGGGCCTTGGTCTTCATGGCGGCCGCAGCTGACCGTCAGTCGCCTGTGCGAGGGCGTGATGGAGGCCGGGGCGCCGCCGCGACGAGGCGAATTTGGGGGATCGCCCGGGCCAGCGGTTGGTGCTGCACACGCGAGGATGCGCAGTGCACACTATTTTTGGGCGCGGCCAGACGTCCTTGAAACAAAGCATGTTCCAAGGGCCAATCTATGCAGGGCGGAGCGCTGACGTGTCGCTCTGTTCAGGGGCGCGCCGCGCCAGATGCGGCGGCGGCGGCAGTGCGGGCGCTGAGATGCCCGGGGCACCGACTTGCTCAAATCCACCCGGCACCAATCGGAGTGCTTCATATGTCACACTACGAAACCCTTGGAGAGCTGGCGACTGCAATGCATGCATGATAGCGCTGCGCGTTTCGCCAACTCCACCCCGCGGCCCAAGGCGGTGCCAAGAGCTGCAAGGCGTTATATGGTGTCAAGAATTACCTTGTGCTTCCTGACCCTGACAAAGTCAGGTGGCTGATGCGATGATCAGCGAGCAGTGCTGTCTGCTGATCTCGCCGGTGTCAAAGGCTGCACCTTTGGCAGGAACGACCACTCACGGCACGATGAAAACCTGTCAGAATTATGTACACGCATGGGCTGACCGAAGTGACACCCAGGCGTTTTCATAAAGCCCAGTGCCATCTCTCGGCGAAGTTGCGTTGCGTCCAGGCGTTTTCAAGAATGATTGTAGTTTAGATGCTTACTAAGCATCTCATGCCGACGCATGGCTGCATCTTTGTCCCTGGGACGGGGCAGCGGTCAATGCTTGACCGCTAAGCCCCGTGCATGTGACAAGTTGTGCAGTGCATGGCAAACCAGCGCGTCACATGTTGGTGGTAATGGATCGCCCTCCATGCAGGCTACCGCATCAGCAATCTCATTGAGTACACATACCGTAGCCGCTTCATGTTGTTCAAGCTGGAATAGCAGGGCTGATCCGCTGCTGCTGAGGCGCACGCCCGGCCCTGCTGGCTGTCTGCAGAGGGGTTGGTGCTACCACTACCGGTACCACGTTGGTGGCGCGGCTTGCCAACACATGTGTCTAGCCTCTGGCGCAAGGCCACACACTGGGAAGTGGAAACCAGCATCGAAGATTTCTGCTTGTGCGCTGAGCTGGCAACACCACCCACTGGCTTGCGCAGTTTGCAGGCTTGCCCACTGGACCCTGTATAGGCGAATCGAAAATACACCGCCCAGCAAGGCCACAGGCAGAAGCTCATGGGCGCTGGTTGTAAGGGATTGCGTGTGACTGCAAGGTTCACCCTGTCCTTTGTACATTTCCAGTAACGACGGCGGGTGACGCCAGCCGTGGTCTGCACTTTTGCTGAAAACGGCCCAGCTCGGCGACTAAGCACTTTCCAGCGGGCTTTATCGTCCATACCAGTCGTTCACAAGCCATGACTCTGTCCACAACGCCGCAAACCCTCGCGCTCGGCGCGAGGGCCCTAGCCCTCGTGATATTTGTCCTTACCGTCGTCTATGCCGCTCATTCCAGCAAGTCCTTGGCTGCCACAACGGAGGAGATGGCTGTATACGGCGGCCTGAGCGCCTGCTTCGCTTGCAACAACGGCTGGAACTGGCACGCGTGAGATACCAGCAGGGGCGGCTGATGAACCAAAGGACACCCATGGTTTGGTGCATGTGTCCGCCACCATGAGAGCGCAAGGCATAGTCATGCCTGCCGATATTGCCAGCTTGCCACAGAGGCCTTTTCGAGCGTGCGCGGTTGCACCTCCGCCACTCACCCTTCCCCAAAAGCGTTGTTACCCTTCACCCGGCAACCCCTTGACTGAATCCCTGTCGGCTGCCCTGAAAACGACACACATGTCGCTGGTGCAGCGTCCTGATGACCCTGGGCTTTGTCGTTGTGATGACGGAGTCGCTGCTGGCCTTCCGCGTGCCACTGCTGGGGAGGTGCGCACGCGCCCACCCCCGCCTCTTGAAAACCTCGTCGTTGGATGCGAGCTGCTGCTAGCTTGGGACGCCCCAAACACTCGCGGCGCCTGGAGCCCCCCTCGGGACTGCACTCAGTACGGCTGATGAGGCGGGGTTGCGCATGCGCCCGTGGAAGTGGCTGCGCGTCGAGCGCTGCAGCCGCTTGGGGCCAGGTTGCCCCACACGGGCCGCCTGCTTGCAGTTAGCTGCCGGCCCGGCCGCAAGACTACAAATTGTCGCTGACCGGCTGATTAACCCCGGCAACCACACAAACCGTGCACCCCTGCACGCACCACACAAACGCCCCATGCAGGCCGACCGCCCAGAAATGGGTCCACATGGCGACGCAGACGGCGGCGGTTGCTCTGGGCGTGGCCGGCATGGTGGCGATCGTTCAGGCAAAGCTTTTCTCCCAGGCCTACCACATGTACAGCGTCCACGCCTGGACGAGCGCCATAATCTTTGTCCTCTTTGTTCTGCAGTACCTGGTGCGTTGAGCCTGGGGTATAAGAGGGAGGGCTGACGTGTGCGGCGGGCGTGTGTGGCGAGAGCGCTTGTGAGCTGTTGAGATGCAGGGGCCTGAGACTACGTATGCGTCCAAGCTGAGATAGATGAAGGGGTGGTGCGCAGAATCTGAGGTCGAGGCTTGCCTTGCAGTGTTGCGGTGTCCATCAGTTGGGTGGCGCTGCAACCCAACTGATCGCAACCTGCTTGCCTGGTGTGCAAAAGCTGCAAGCGCGGGCGGTAGCCGTTGGAAGCGCTCAGCTGCAAAATCTCGGGGGGGGGGGGGGTCCACCAATGCCGGCTGCAGCAGCACATCTGCACAGCTTGCAGGCTCTCAAGTCCTCGCAACTGAGGTGATAAATCAGCGGCCAGGCCTACCTCATCCTAAACTTCTTCTTTCCCCTCCCCTGTCTGCAAACCCCAGGTGGGCCTGGCCGTGTTTGCGCTCCCGCTCGTCAAAAGCGCGGAGACCAAGGCGTCTGTTGCTAAGTGGCACATTGTGCTTGGGCAGCTCACCTTCTTCGGCGGCATCGCCGCGTGTGTGGTGAGTTTCTTCCCGGCGCTGAGTCGGCAGGGGGGGGGGGCGGCGCACCAACCGCAAGACACTCAGATGCAGCCTGCAACCCCTGCCAGGCATGAGAAGTATGCTATTAAAACACGTGCTTGCTCTCTGTGACCACGTTCAAGGGCTCCCACCTCTTTCTGGCAACTGAACGCCAGCACCTGTCGTCAACCCCCTTTCTCACCTGGCCTGATACGTCAACCAACCCAATCTTGCAGACTGGCTGGGCCGACATGCAGATGATGAATGTCGATTTTGGCCAGGTGAGTTGACCGAATGCACCCTTTTGCTATGCGCCCGGGGTGTGCAGCTCCCACCTCGTTTCTCCGCCTGAGAATGCACACGCAACTGGCCCACTTCGCACCCAACCCTGGCAGCTGAATCGCAAAAGGAGGCCCGCCTGCTCGTCGCACCCTCCGCAGCTGCTCTGCATCGTTGCTTGCAGCACCAAGTGCCTCGCCACTGGAACGCCTCACCCCTCTTCGGGGCCCAACATCAATGATCCCCCCCATCACACCTCTCTGCGTTGCGCGCGATCACCTCGCAGCGCAACTACGGCAGCGCGACCATCCTCGGCGCCACCACGGCGGTGCTGCTGTGGGCCCTGGCGGCCGCCGTCGGCGGCGTGGTGCTGTCCGGCCCGCGGCCGAAGCCCGGCGGCTGCTGCCCTGCCGCTGCTGCTGCGCCGCTGAAGGGGCAGGACCCGCTGCCCGGGGTGTGAAAGGCGGGTGCCGCACAATCATGTCAGCGAGCTCGAGACGGGACGCGCGACCCTGCGTCGCGCATCAGTGGGATGCGCATCAAATTGCAGATCATTGTCTGCTCATGCCGCTCTGAGATGTTTGAAACCTTCAAGCTTGCCCCTGATCCTGCATGTACTTTGATGCACTCTCCCTCATTGCTTGCCTCTGCTGTGCTGTGTGTATGATGCAACAATGCCTGCAATCTTGTTGTGGACTGCGGAATAGCTATGCATGAGCAGTAAAAGCTTCCGCTGATGCCGCTCCGACCTCACTGTATAGATTGGAGGCGCCGGCACCCTCCCTGGCCAGTCCGAGGCGGGTGCAGCGGAATAACTGATTCTGGAATAAGGTGGGGTTGAACCCCACCTTATCAAGCACCTCACCTGGACTGTGACTGTTTGCAGTTACTTGACCAGCTCAACCCGCACCTGCCCAGCTGCATATATAACTGCATGCAAGACAGCTGAATTGCTCGAGCTCCCGCTGCACGTCAATTCTATTTGTTGTTATTGCATGTATTGCAGCAAAGACAGGAGGGGCGCGCCAAATTGTGCTCACACACGGTTTGCTGAGGCTGGCAGGGCGAGCCTCTTGCGTTGGCATGCAGGGATGCCATTACTGGCAGATCTGTCTTCGATATAATCCAGACCCTCACAATCCATTCCCATAATCCATGCTACGGTACACCTGATTCTCTGCCCCCTGGCAGCTGCTCTTTCCTGAACCCATTGGGTGCGGCCCAGCTGGTGTCTCACTCAGGCGCGAAACCAGGCGTGACCCCCAGCCACCCAGCCGTCAGCCAAGTTGCCTGACCAAGCCGTGAATAGCCGTGGGTGCATTACAACTGAGGCCGACGGAACCCGTACCAGGAACCCTACTTGCTGGCTGACGCACGCGCGCCAACAGCACAACTGCTTTCACTGCCCTGTTGTCGCCTTGCAGGGATCAATCGCTTGCCCTGCCATGCAATTATAGAAGACATGAAATGTTTGCTGGCTCCGATTGGAAACAGCAAGATTGCACTGCAAAAGCACAGCTGTGCCCAGGCCAAGCCCAAAGCTATGGCGGTGGGGTTTGACGCGACACCATGCTCTCATTCAAGGGGCAGCGGCAACCCCGCTGCAGGGCTGTTGCTGGTGCGCTGTGCAGAAAGGTCAACGCAGAGGAAAACGATCCCAACTGCCTTGGGAAAAGCAATGTACACACCGAGGCACAACAGCTGGACAACTACACATCAATCAAGCACCACCCGCGCAGCATGTGCCTAAGGGCCCTCCTCGCTGCTGCCGTCCTCGCTGCTGCTGCCGTCCTCGCTGCCGCTGCCGCCGCTGTCGCTTGGCTCCCGCCCGAACAGGAACCTCCCTCTGCCCCAGCGCAGAATCTCCCGCAGGTCGGGCCCCCGCGGCTCGTCCTCGTCAGCCTGCTCGTCGCTGCCGCTGCCGCTGCTGCCGTCGTCGTCGTCGTCCTCGTCGCTGTCGTCGTCGCTGCCGCTTTCGGAGCTGCTGCCGCTGTCCTCGTCGCCCCCGCCCTCCTCCGAGCTCGCCTCGTCACGAGCCCGGCGCGTGATCGCCACCACAGCCCGGTGCGCACGGGCGAGCGACTCGGAGGCCGCGGCCGCCTCGGCTGCTTTCTGATGCACCAGATCCTCATACGCATCGAACAGGGCCTCGTGCAGTCCGGGCACCTTGCCGCTCCCGGCCTCGCCTCGGACCGCGCGGAGGTCGTCCAAGGTTGCGCGCCGCCACTGGATTGCAGCCACGAGCCGCGGCCAGTGGTGGCGCTGCTTCGCGGGCGCGCGCTGCGCGCGCATCCAGGCCGATGCGGCGGCGTGCGCGGCGCGGGGCGGGGCGCGGGAGAGCACCTCGGCAAGCGCGTCGACGGGCCACTGCGCGAGCGCGCCCGCGCCGGCGGCGCCGCCGCCCGAAATCTCCCCGAGCGCCGACGCCGCCTGCGCGTAGAGGCTGCCGGTGCACGCGCTCGGCAGCAGCCTGTGCGCGCCCGGCAGCAGCGCCGCGAGCGCTGCCGGCGTGAACGCGGCCGCGCCCATCCACAGCCGGAGCTGCCGCGCGAGGTCGCTCTTTATCTGATACTGATCCGCCAAAGAATACAGTTCCAAAACGAGCGCCAGCGGCACCTGGATCGCGCCGCCATAGATGTGCTGCAGAAGCAGGTCCACAGCCGCCGCGCTCGAGCCCCGCAGCTCGACCGCCGCCGCGCGGCCCTCCGACATGTTCGAATCGAGCATCTTTTCGAACACAGGGCTCGCCGCGGCGAGCACGACTCGGTGCGCGCGCCGCGGAGGCTCGGACGCGGCTGCGGCCGTGCCCGCGCCGCCGACGGAGACCGCCAGGTCGCTGAAGCGGCCGCCGAGCATGGTGCCGCCAGCGGCGCGGAAGGTCAGCGGGTCCGCCGGCACGCGCACGGACGCGTCCGGCCCGAGCGGCGCGCCGGGCGCGGCCGCGAGCGTCGCGCGCAGGGACAGGCCCGCGGCGGCGGCGCGGCTCAGCTCGCTGTACCGCAGGAGGCCCTCGAAGCAGTGCGATGAGTGGCGCAAAGTCTTGCCTGACACCGCCTCGGCTCGCTCTCCCAGCACGGTTTCCTGCGCCTCTGCCTCATCGCCTGAGGCGGCGCCGCCGCCGCCGTCCGCGCCGCCGCCCCGCTTCACTGCCGCGAACGATACCAGTATCCTGCAGTCCCCGGGCGCCGCGTCGGGCGGCCCATTGAAGGAGACCACGCAGTCGACGTTGCCGCCGTCCGTCGCGTCTGCACCGCAGAACTCAATTTGGAAGGGGCCGAGCTGGGTGTCGAGCCGCAGCTCGCAGAAGAAGTGGGACGGCGGCGCGCCGGAGAGCGCCTCGGCCGCCAGCTCATTCGCCCAGGCGTCCGCCGCGGGCGGCGCCGACGGGTCCGCCACGTGCGCGGCGGCGGCGGGCGCAGAGGGGCCGGTCGGGGTGCGGGCCGCGGCTGCGGCGGCGGGGGCCTGCGGCATCGCGCGCGGGCGCTGCAGGCTGCTGCTGCCAACGCTGCTTTGTCGCCGCCGCTGCTCGGGCCGGCCGTGGATGTTGCAGCCGCCTCGATGGCACCCAAACAGGTGTCCAACAGACTAACAAGGCCTGCAGGGCATCCACAAACAGCATTTGTATGCAATTGAGGCATGTATGAGGTGTGCGGAGGACCGGGACCGCCGCCTCGACAGCGCGCGGCCACAGCAGCAAGGGCAGAGACTTTCGCCCTTCTTGGACCCGTTCAGCCCGCGCCCTGGCCGCTTCGAACTTGCCTTTAAACTTCGGGACCTTTACTGTCTAGCTCTGCGCCCTGTGTGCGGTGCTAGCGTATGGCACCGCGACGAGTGCCACCTACGAGTGAGCAGAGCCGCGTTTACAACTCCCATTCAGAACGGAGATTCGGCGTTAATCACATATCGCTCTGTAAAAGGTTCAAAACCATGCGGTGCTGCAGATCACCTACGAGCAGATCTGAGCGGGAGTCGGCCGATTTCTGCACCAGAACTGTCTGGGCCTCAAACAGCCCTCTTCCTTCCCACACTGCAATCACAGTGTGTAACCTGTGAGACATAACACGTTGCTGGGTCCCTGTATCCATCGCCGGGGGACTATGCCTCTTGGCGGTTTGACAGGATGACATGCTAGCGCTGCTGTACTGGCAGCGACGGCCGCGTTTTGAATCACAGTGAGCTTCATGATGAATGAAGCCTCCCCACCCTGACGCTCGAGGGTCGTGTTTTGGAAATTGGGCCCGCCTCATCCGTTCTGGAGGTGCGGCACTGCATGCTCGAATGCCGCTGGAGTTCTTGCAACACCAACACCATCATGAGAGAGAAGAACAGTGCGGCACCACCTGCCACCGTATCATGAGCTGAATGGCTCCTGGGCATGATGTGCATGCTTTGCACCTGTTTAGGCGCCACCAGGCAAATCGTCGCGCAAAGCCCCCGCTTCCTGGACCAAATCGCTACCACGACTTAGGTGTGGGGCAGGCAGAAGAAGAACACTAATATTGGCTTCAGAAGATTACTCACTAGTCAGCAGTCCTGTTGGCAGCCATGCCAGGAGCACCGCGCACGTGTCCAGCCACCACGTAGGGCTGCAGTGCAACTGCTGAATCCAAAATTCCCACCGCCCTGCGCGGGGAAGCCAAGGCAAGCGATATCCTGTGGGCGAGGCCCGCTCACCCTGGACAAGGCTCAAGCAACGCAGCAACGGCCATGACCCACCCCTTCTGCCCCTCCAATCCAACTACGAGCGGCATCAGGCACCAAACTCAAGGCAGGCAAAGCAGCTTGCAACGCACAGTGACGAGGTACTGTGACAGCAGGACCGCGCAGCTCACTGCCACGCGCTCGCAGGACCCGCCCGGCGCCGCCGCCAGGGACGGCATACTTGTGGGAGCTGCTGACGGGGTAGATGGCAGTGGACCTGCACGCTTCTGTGAAGCGCGCATGCACATGCATACGCACGTTTGCGCCTCGCGTGACGGTCGATTGCGCCACCCTCTCCAGGTGCACGCTCGGCAGGGGCAGTTTTGCCATGGACAGGTCGAGCGTCACCAACCTGGGCCAAGTGCACTGCAGGGTCACATGCCGGGCCACAGACTCGGCCAAAGCTGCCGGCGGACCACCATCAAAAGTCAATGCCAAGGTCAAAGGCAGGCAATGTTGCCGCGATTCCGCGTACAACCCCCAGTATTCTCTGATGAGCTGAGGAATCGACATCACAGCTGCTCCTGGAAGGCCATTCCAGGTGTGGCGCCTCCAACAGATGCACCACACCGTGATGTGCTGCTGCAGCAGCTGCCGCGCGTGCACACAGCTCGCTTGAAAAGGGCCCAGGCGATAGCGCTCTGCGATCAGTTGCAATCACACGCAGCGAACGTTGAACAAACCAGCATTGTTGAATCACGTTGTTGTGGCAGCTGTCCTCGACCGTCTTTGCGAGGCCTCGATGGCCACGCGCACCGGAGCGCCCGCCAGGGCGCTCGAGAATGTTCCGAACGCCAAGGATGTGACCAAGCCGGGACAGGCTGGCGTGGATATGACGCGCAGGAGGTAAGGGACCCCTGCGTTCTGCTGCAGATCACCGACTGTTGCTGCCTGAACCCCGTGCGAGGCCTCCATGCGTGTAGCGGCAGCTCACATAACTATATGCCTCCAGGGCGCTTGGCGACATCGGGAACGTGGGAGCTGGCGTGCAGACCCGGTCGCAAAAGGTGAGGTCTGGAAACGGATGGAATGCCATCGTGGTTGCTGGCACCTTGCATTCTAAGCAAGCTGCCGCTCACGCCGTTTCCGCAGGCCGCTGCTGGCGGCGCAGTCAAACCGGGCACCGCCCTCCAGCCCCGCCGCGACCCCGCCGCGACCGCCGCCGTGCTGCGCTCCCGCGCTACCGCGGCCCCCCAGAAGGCCGGCTCCAGCCTCAGCTCCCTGCTGCAGAGCCGCTCCGAGCACGCGGCCGCCAAGCGCCACCCGGGCGGCGCGCCGCCGCTGTCGCCCCTGCCCGACATTGACAGCAAGGACAAGGACGACCCGCTGAGCGAGGCAGGCTACGCGCACGACATCTACTGCTACTACCGCAGGGTGGAGCCGCGCTTCGCGGTGCCGAGCGACTACATGGCCAGCCAGGCGCGGGCGGGAGGGGCGTGGGCGTGCATATGGGAGAGGCCCCACGGACGGGGTCTGTCGGGTCGCCTTGACTTGCGACTCAGACAAATGTTTCAAAAGAGGAACGTTTCCCACCGGCGTGCCCCCTTGCCGCGCCCATTGTGCCCTGGCTGCCACCTCCCATCGCACAGGCCGCCCGTAACGCTGCCGCCCTCCCGCCACCCGTTGTCCGCGGGCCTCACAACCCCGCACTCCATCCCCTCACACCCGCCGCCCTGGTCCTGCAGGTGGAGATCAACGAGAAGATGCGGTCCATCCTGATTGACTGGCTGGTGGAGGTCCACCTCAAGTTCAAGGTCAGGGGGGGGGGCACCAGGGGCAGCACACGCCACCACGGCCAGCGCTGCGGCGATCGGCGCGCTCTGCAGCCTGGGGGCTGGGCTGGGCCGAGCGCCCCTCCTCAAGAAGCATGAAGGGAGCAGTGAGGTGGATGCTTGGGACAACAGATCTCATACTTGCCTCCGGAGCAGGACTCCTGCAGCCGGAGAGCAGCATGGCGTCCCCGGCTGCGTCCATAATCCTGCTCAAGCCCGTCCTCCTGCGCCCGGCCCACTCCGGCCGCTCCCTGGCCGTCTGCCCATCCCCCCTCATGACCCCCCTCAGCTGATGCCCGAGACGCTCTACCTCACCTGCAACCTGATCGACCGCTACCTGTCAAAGCGCAACGTCACACGCAAGCGCCTGCAGCTGGTGGGCGCACACCGCACGCCTGCCCCCAACCCCGCCCCACCGCAACGTCCGCTGCGCCTCCTCCGCCGAGCGAGGCGCCCCGTTGAAATGCCAAGCAGCATTTGAACTTATCCACGCCGCGCTCTGTGTATTCCCCGTGCCCTCCAGGTGGGCTGCACGGCCATGCTGATCGCCTCCAAGTACGAGGAGATCTGGGCGCCCGAGGTGAGGGCGTGTGGCGGCAGTTGCTCGCCCAGCAACTCCGGGGGACAGCCTGCCGCCACGCCCCTGCCAAGCCGCGCGGCCGCCGCCCGCACCCTCCTTAACGAGTGCCGCTGATTCGTGCACTCCCGGCCGCCCCTACGACTTCTGCAGTCCCCATTCGGGCCCTTGCTCGGACCGTCATTCTCAACGGGCATTGCCCCATTGTTGGCCTTCTGGCCCTAAGTGTCCCTGTTTCACATACCCTCATCCAACCCCTCCCTTTGCCCACCACCACGCACGTTCTCTTGCAAACCGCTGCCGCCCCGACGTGCCCGCGCCCCCCCCCCCCCGAAGGTGCGCGACTTTGTGTACATCAGCGACAAGGCCTACAGCCGCGAGGACATCCTGGGCTGCGAGAAGAAGATGCTGCAGGTGGGGCGGGTGATGATGATGATGATGACGCTGATGATCCAAGCGCGCGGAGCGCCCGCCCGGCCGCGCGGCGCCGCGTGGCTGCTCGCCGCCCCGCAGCCCTGCCCCACAACATGCGGCCGCGCTCTGGATGTGGCAGCTGCGACGGGGATCGCAGCTCGCTCGTGCAACGCTGGCAGCCGCAGACCTTGAAGCGGCTGTCATCCATCTCCCGTGCAACCCACACCCCACACCCTGCGCACCCACACCACACCCCACCGCGCCCAAGCCCCCACGAGCCCCGCAACTCCCCCGCACCCTTGTTCCGATCTCGCACCAACCCTGCTCACCAACGATCACCAATCCATCCCCCGAAATCTCTCCCACCCCCAGGTGCTGTCGTACGACCTCACGGTGCCCACCACCTTCTCCTTCCTCTCGCGCTTCAAGAAGGCCGCCGCCCCCGAGGACCCCCGCGCCGCCCAGTTTGCAGAGTACCTAATTGAGCTGGCCCTGGTGGACTACCCCATGCTCAAGCAGCCGCTGTCCCTGGTGTCGGCCGCGGCCCTGCACGCCGGCCTCGCGGCGGTCGGCGCGGCGGACGCGTACCCGCGCCCGCTGCGGCGGCACGCGCGGTACGACGCGGCCGCGGTCGCGCCGGTGGCGCGCGCGCTGCTGGCGCTCGCGGCGAAGGCGGCGGCGGGCGGCAGCCTGAGGGCGGTGTACAAGAAGTACAGCAGCAGCAAGTTTGGGGAGGTGGCGAAGATGGAGCTGCCTGATATGGGCCTCGACGAGAACGATGGGACCGCCGCATGATCTGGAGGGTGTGATGACCGGGGCATGTTTGGAACTCTCCGGCTGCCGGGGCGCCCGGCCGCGCTACATTCGGCCCGTCCAGGGCGCCGCCGGGGGTTTCGAAGCGACTCTGCTTTGGGTTCTTTCAATGGGGTCGAGGGCCGCGGTGGGGCTTTGCTTCTGAGCATGTGCGCCGTCGGCTGCGCCCGCACGTGCACCGGGCCGCTGATGGTGCAGCTGCACCCCTCATAGTCCTCCCTCACGCCCCGCGTGCGCCGTGGGAGAAGCAAGCAGTGCGCGTCGACCAGTCCTCTCTTGCCTGAGCCCGCCCCCTCCAGCGCCGCCCTGGCCTGTAGCCTCAGCAGGGCGATCTGCTGGTGGGGCTGCGAACTGGGCATCCCGATCGTGGGGCTGCCAGGTGCAGGCCAGGCTCGACACGTCCCAGCAGGGGGCGCGCGCGCGCTGCCCGCACAGCCTGCGTCGGCCCACCACTCCTCCTGTAGATAGGGCCCCCACCACGCCCCTGCCCCTCCCCGCGGCCGGCCGGCCTCGCGCCCGGGCCGCTGCCTCGCACGCGCTGCGAAGATTGCGCGGCGGCCGGCTGCCCTCAGGCGCGAGGGCGTTCTCTGGGCTGACCCTAGGTTACGACCCCGCTTGGGCCCTTCCCAGACGGCCGGCGACACACGATTACGTCACCATTTCATTGCACGGCGCCCTCCTCGTCGCTGTGCCGCCAGCCCCTGTAGTGCCGGCCGCTGTTCTCACACTTGCACACTTGCGTGGAGCGTGTCGGGTGATGCACTCTCGGTTTTCGAGGACTCAGCACTGGGTACAGCACTGCGTGTAACGGCCTCCCCTGCAGGGTTTCTCCCGTCCCGCTGCCGTGCCTTTGTCTCTGCAAGTCAGCCCCGTGGGTGTTGTCCTTTTACAGATGTTGCTGCTGCCTGGTCGGGAGCGCTCAAACAGCGGCAGGAGGCGAGGTGCCAAAAGAAAACCGCTGGCGTGCACAGCAGGAGGAGGAGGAAGGCACTTGTATATTGTAGAGTGGAGTAGGGTGTCACATGGCGGCTTGTTCGGGTGTCATGTCCAAGGCTGCTACTTGCCAAACCATTGCAGTTTCAGAGGGTTCAAAGCGGGTATCACGTTGTGCCTCGTAGTCGTGTGTGCACGGCCCCGCGAATGCGGCATGCAATTGCGTGCATGTCATGCGGATGCGCGCGTGCGTCCTGGCTGGCTGCGCTGGATGTTGCTGTAATCTTCGGTAAGCTGCAAAAGTGGGGATGGCGCACGCCGCTTGCCCGAAACCGACCAATGGTATAGCACGCAAGTCAGTCACCTACAAAATCGCCAGGGTCTAACGAGTCAAAAACCCATATGGGGCGTGGCGGGGTGTGGGGTTGGCCGGCCATACGCCCCTCTGCGAGTACAGACTGCGGTCACTTGTGTCTCCGGTGCCGGACGCTGCGAATGCGCATATGGAAAGCAGCCGCGCTCCAGCAGGCTCGTATTAGGTGAGCCACGGCCTGATCTGAGTCTCAGACAACCTCCAGGGCCTGCAACCCCCTGTCGCCCACCACCTTGAAAGCCGCTACGGCAGCCGGGGCGGGCAGGGCCTTCGCGCCCGCTGCGCCGGGCGCGCCGCGGCTCGAGGGCGGCAGGCTATTTTGGTCGCCCGCGCCTCGCACGTCCACGGAGGCCGCTGCGGCCGCGGCGTCCGCTGCTGCGGGCGCTGCCGCGGGCGCGGCGGCGCGGGCCGCCCGGCGGGCACGCGCGCCGGCGCTC